AGCCACAGTTTTGACCAAATGGGTACTTGTTCTAGTGTTTGTTTATTTTTAATGATAATGTGGTGAGTATATAAGAACACACTTGCACTCCAAGTAAACTTTGAAATTAGTAAAGCATCTGGGGAAAAGTATAAGATACTATTTAATTCTGTGAAGACAGGAAAATTTATGCTTTAGTTCTTAATTTTTCACAAATTTATATTCTCATTAGAATTGATGACTCAGATGGGAAGGTGCAGTTAAAGTGTATATAAAGTTATTATATAAAATCCATGCTGATATTTTTAAAATTTGTAAATACAGTGAGAGGCTATTCTTGTTGAATTCTTGTACTTCTCTTCAAAGTATATAAAAATCACTATGATTACATTATGTTAGTGAGTCCAAATGCATTTTGTAGAGATGTAGTGTATAAATGCTATTCTCATTAAAATCCATATGCCTATTTTTATTAGTTCAGATATCTTTCTACAGATAAATATCTGTATATCTGTATGCATGTATACGTGTATATAATATATATAGTGTATATATTATATATATAATATATGCATATTACCATATAGAACTTTAAGATTTATGAGGTCCCCTAGGGCATATAGAGTAACAGTTCTCTGGAACAGTAGTGCTAAGTCTATGTGGCTGGGGGCGTCGGGGTGGCTCAGTCGTTAAGCATCTGCCTTCGGCTCAGGTCATGATCCCGGGGTCCTGGGATCGAGCCCCGCATCGGGCTCCCTGCTCGGTGGGAAGCCTGCTTCTCCCTCTCCCACTCCCCCTGCTTGTGTTCCTGCTCTTGCTCTCTCTCTCTCTCTCTGTCAAATAAATAAATAAAATCTTAAAAAAAAAAGTCTATGTGGCTGGGCCCTAAAAAGGGAAGTTCTCCAAAATATCTGTTCAAAAACAGTTTTATAATGAATTTTAAAAATGTGCAATATTGTAAGATACCAGGAAAGAAAAAGTCAGACAAAACCAAGATCCTCCCCACCCCAATTCCTTGTCTTTCTTTTATTCTTGTTCCTCAGGTGGAAATCTTCTTAGAGACTAGGGTGTTAAGGATAAGGAATTTATAAGAAGTGACCCCCCCCCCCCCGGTTCCCAATCCCATTTGTGGGAGAATAATCCAGACAAATTCAAACAGAAGGTTTTGCACTGCTCTAGCCTGGGCAGAAACAAATTTAGATTTACTGGTAACTAATTAGTTGTCAATTCTTCTACAGGATTGGTTGCCTTAGGACATGCACCAAAAGGAGTGGGTAGGAAGAGCTTAGTCACGACCTACCCAGGCTGGCTCTCAAATCACAGTCAGTGCACTGTGCTCCATCACAGAGAGAGAAGAAAGAAATCAGACTGGATTTGTCGGATATTTGTGAAAGCTGGATGATCCTCGAAGATATTTGGCTGGACTGGCAACACAGTGAAATATCAGTATAGATACAGCAATTAAAGTAGAGGTCCACTGCCTGCCATAAGCTTTTCTGATTTCCATTTCCTTTAATGTGCTTCGAAGTCAAATCACAGCGACCCAACTTCAATAACATTGGAGAACATTTTGTGGGGAGGAACTAAGAATTATGGTTTATAACGAATTTTTGGAATCTAGTTTTTACTGAAGTCTGTCTCAAGTAAGTGCACACCCAAGTCTAGAGACTGTTCTAACATATAGTTTAAAAAAATGGTGAAAATCATCGCAAATAGCTTGAATTTTGTGAAGTTCCTGGTAAATGGGTCATATGACAGTGAGATTACAAGTTTATTAAGGGTGCTAACGGGGAAGCCTAATTTTTTTAGAACAAATCATTCAAATAGATACAAATTTTGAGGTAAAACAAACAAACCTAAAATCTATAATTCAGCATTGGGATCCAGAAAAAAAACCTACACTGGTAAATATGAAAATAATCTATGAGGATATTTACAAAAATTGTGGCATTCATAAGAGAGAAATTTTGTGGAGCATACAGTTAAGGTCGAAAAGAAACTATGAGCTGTTCAACTTCCATGATCAAAATATAAACAATTTAGTAGTAATATAAATGGCAAAGTGATAGAGATCTTAATGAAGATTGACTCACAGAAACGGAAAATAGGATATTACAGTAGGAAGTAAAGTGTTCACACCAATAGATGTTTAGATTCCCTAGTTGCAAGGTTTTAAATGGCATGCTTTTTGTCTTGGTGAATTTCAATTAGACTCTGCAATGGGCAAGTCAGGAAGGGAATATTAATGATGGAGGAGAAGGCTGGGGTGGTGTTCCATTCTTCACAGAGCCAGCCAAATAGGAGAGCAAATATTTGTTTAGATTGTAGCATATTAAATGCTCATTCAGAAAGTGGTGATTAATAGGTTAAAAAGAACAGCTTGAAATATTTACAATGTAAAGGTTTTACTCTCCTCACATAATCTTCAAGGCAAAGCTAAAATTTACTGTAGATTAGCAGTGTCTGTTGTTATGAAAACTGCACCATCTAGGAAAAACATCTGAATTTTTGGTTCATAACTAACGAAATTGAAGTGTTTGGCACATATTGACTCTGAATGTAATATGAGAAAAACATATCAGCATACTTATCTTTTTCCCCCTTTTAAAGTGTCTAACGTTTATAACAACTTCTTGAAGAGATAAACACCCGCTCTGCCTTGCCTTAGTAGGATGTGCGTAACATTCTGTCTTATGTGCAGTACAAAAAGGAAAATATCTTCTCTCTCCTTTTTTCTGTTCAAGTTGCACGTTTGGATTTTATCGCCTCAGATAAAATAGAAGATAAATGAGACAGATCAAACACAATACTGAAAGTGTACTATGGGAGTGGAATTACAACAGGTCCCCTTTAAAAGCAAAAAAACCCTACGGGGGGGACACCTCAAACCCTGCGAGACTTCATCTCCTCTCTGCCCCCCCTCCGTGCCCCCACCCCAAGAACTGCAGAGGTAGTAGAAGCACAGCATGTACCTTTTTGCTGGGGTGGGGTGGGTGCGGGGGTGCGGAATGTAAACTTTTTTAGAGCTTTGTTGATTGAGTTTGATCACCATGTAGGGAGGACGCCCGTGAAAAGACATTGGGGAAAAGAATTGCCGAGAGTGAGCGGGAGGTTTCCCCAAGGTGCAAAATCTGCAAATGGACTGGAGAGAAGTTTCCAGCCCTCTGAGCTTCGAGGGGAAATTGGTCCTGATTGCAGAAGTGTGAAGGAATGAGTGGTATATCAAGAGGGCTCAGGAAATCAAAGAAACTTCCTGCTGTCTGATTCCACGCAACATGCGTTGAACTTGATCCTGCGTGGATGCGCTGATGACTAAATAGAGGCTGATTAGAGTCCCCTCGCCCTCCAGCGGGAGTGGTACCTCTTTACCGCTCCTCAGCAGCCACGTCGCTCCAGAGCCAGGGGATGTTGGGGGGCGGGCGGCAGGGCGAGGCCCCGGGGATCTAGGGCCGCACAGACACACTGCGTTTGCGACTCCGCACCAACACCCACAGGCAGCCCCGCCCCCAGAAACCTCGGGGCCTCGGGGGAGCTCCGGCGGGCCGCCGCAGGGAGCAGTCGGGGCGGCGCGTGGGCTCCGCTCCAGCGCCGGGGCGTGGGCGCGGGAAGCAGCGCTCGGGGCGCACCGGAGAGCTTGCCGCCGCCGCCCCGGGCAGTGCCGCAGCAGGTGCCCGGCGCGGGGTGGGCGGTTACCCCGGATCCGGGCGGGGGTGGGGGTCCCTGCGTTCCCGGGAACCTCGTTAGCCCTCCTCCCGGGCCTGGCTCCTCCTCCTCCAGGCGTGGGGCTCGTGCCCGCCACAGCCTGCGCGCACCGCGCTTCGGCTCGCGTCCCCCCACCCCGCCCGCCCCTGCCAACGCTTCCCCTCCTCCTCTTCCTCCTCCTCCGCCCATCACCGCCACTACGGACGCCTTTGCCTCCATCTACTCCTCGCATCGCGGCCGCCGCTCTCCGCGCTCCCCTCCGGCTTCCACGAGCCCATCGCTCCCCGCTCGCTCGGCTGCTGCAGTCGCTCTCTCTCTCTCTCTCACTCGCGCTCTCCCTCAAGTTTCCTATCTCCTCAGATCAGGGCAAAGGGAGGAAAACAGCCGATTCTGCTTGCTGTTTCAGGTAAGGTCGCACACGTCGGTCCCAGGAGGGACCCCTTCCCATTTGCCTTTGCCTCCTCCGGTGCATGCCTCGTCTCCCCCACCCCACTCTCCGATGCTCCCCGAAGCCCGGGAGGTTCGGGTCGCCTCCTCCTCCACAGCACATTTGAAAAAATCATTTCGATACTCATCCCCAGAATCGTATCTGCAACTACAATAAGATCCGAGACGCCCGCCTGCCCGCCCGCGCGGCAGGAAGCACGTTAGCCTGGCTCTTTTCTAGTCTTCAACTTTGCACGCTGTGATCGCCGCTGCCTGCCGGCCGCGGCTGGATCCGGGAGCCTCACGCTCCTCCGATTGTGGTGCTCGGCTCCGGAACAGCTGTCCAACGCGTCGTTTCGCAGCAGTTGATCCGAACCCAGCTGCCTGCAAGACGTGGTCTTGGGCAAACTGTGCCTGGGCAGGGAGGGAGGTTCTTTTCTTTTCTTTTCTATTATTTTAGAGGGAGTGAAGAAGTAAAGACGTGAGGACTGCAGTTCACTGTAATGAAAAGAATAATCGAAAAAGTGGGCTGGCCGCCCCTTGCTTTCCCCGCTGGGGTTGCGGGGGTGGTCTTGGTTGTTGAGGAGGTTTTGGCACCAAGTACCCATCTCTCCTCCCCCTTTTCATTCTCCCCTCGGACGCATTCTCTTCTCCAGCTCCTATGTCAGTTCAGGGTCCCGTGTGTTATTATTACGTGTGTGTGAGCACAAAACAGTTTGCTGACGTTGGGGCTGGGTGTAAGTTCCCGGCAGAGCAAAGTCTGATTATTTGGTCATCTTGCTGTCAAAAGAAAAAAAAAGAAAAGACAAGAGACCCCCCGCTCCCCCACCCCCCCCCCACTCCAGCGGGTGCCAATATTCTCTGCCCCTATCCCTCTTGGTTCCTTCCAGACCAATCCTGTCCCCCACCCCCCATCATCACACCCTACACTCGCTCCGTTGGAATAATTCTATAGCTTTAACTCCAATTCTCAGTTGAATTGACATTCTTTGGGGCTATTTGGATGGTGGAACTGAATGTAATTTTAAGTGTATTTTATTTTTCTTCCATGGCTTTACAAAGGGTGGCAATGAAGACGAAATTAAACACCTACAACATGCAGTTGCTGCTGCTGCTTTTCTTGTTGTGGGACCCAGCCAGGTGAGGCATTTATTTATTGTATTTGATTTTTTAAATTCAGGGTGACGGTGTGTTTGTTGAATGCTATCAATGCTGAGGTGGCCTTTGAGAAGCTGAAGTATTTTGAAGAGTCAGTTCTAATGAAAAAAGGTTGTATCAGGAAACTGAACTAGGAAGTGGCAGAGGCTATAAAAAGTTCACTGCTTCTTGTTTTTAGTGATAAAATACAAAAGTAATCAGAAACATTTTCTTAAAAAAAAAAAAGGAAGAAAGAAAAGAAAATCTCCAAAGAAAAGACTTATCTTTTGAATGGCACATTCTTGCAAGGAATTGAAGTGGTTAAGTTATATGCGTTTATAATAACACCAAGATTCAGTAAAATAGCCAACAGTTTTTCTTTAAGCTAAACAGAAAAGCACAAGTTAAAATGATTTGATTAACTTATTTTTTCTTCCTTCCTTCTTTCTTTTCTTCTTTCTTTCTTTCATCTTTTTTTTTAATGGTCTTGGCTCTTTTAGTCAATGTAGAAAACCCAAAGGATGTGTGAGTCTTTAACCTCTAGGTGGAGGTAGTATACAACTTCAGAATCACAAACAAAAAAACAAAAGCTTGATTTATTAATCAACTTTTCATATTATTGATTTAGAGATCTTTTATTCCTAAAATGGTTACTGTCATAAACAGTACTTATTTTAAGCATGTAACTAATTTTGTTTTGCCTTTGTTCTACAAACATGAAATTAATTCTTATTGCTTTCCATAACATCATCTTAATTGTAGTCTTTTCTGATTTTTCTCATCACTGGGCATTTTTTATTTATGGTCTAAATTTAGGAAATGATTTTCAAAATATTAGAGGACTTAAATTATAAAAGTTATAAGAATGTTCATGTAACCATTCCTTTTAGAAATAATGTCTTTATTATATCTTTATTTCCCTTTTAATTTTTCATTTTCCTGTCCAAGTAATTGTCAAACTATGAAAATACTTTCTAGAATTGAGAAGAAATCTCTTCATTAGGCTTATTTTTAATTGGAAAAGAGCTCCTCATTTAACATCTTAATACTGAATTTAGAAAAAGAATATGACATGTGATCAAATAACACTTTTCAGTGAAAACCTTTATGTGGAACTTTATGATTATCATAGTGATTGGTTTTAAAATTAGCTTAAGGTAATATAGAAACTTTTGGTGCTGGAGTTTTGATAAACTAATTTGCTTACATAATTTTTAAATGTTTATCTTTATATCAGTGTGTTAATATTTTCTCTGCCCTCAAGGTAATATTTGTTTTAACTTGGTTACCAATTTTTTTAATGTATCATGACTATTTTTAGTTACTAGCTGTGTAATCGTTTAAATGCAAGTGGACTCTGTCAATGATACTTTATACAATACACCTTGATCAGAAGCAATTACATATAATCTTTGATTTTAAAGGAGTGAACATACCATGGTCAATTATTAATCATTGACGATCCTTAGTGCTTAACCATATTTCCCTCTACTAGTTTTCTGTTCTATATTTGACCAGTAATGCTCATGCCAGTATTTTATTCTATTATATAAATGATTCTTTTTTTGGGCCAGTAATTTAAATCTCTGAATCATTCTAGGGGAAAAAAATGGCAGTGAAAAGGGACATTGTGTTTTATGCATCCAGTTCCTTCTGCACCAAATTGCTGGATGTCACAAAATCAGGTCTCTGGCTTTCTGATGGAGAAATAATGGAGAAAATCATGGTTTCTAACCCCTTGCTGGAGATATTTTAAGACCATTTGTTCTTTCTGCAAATTTGTCACGCACAGACACAAAAGTAGCGAGGCATTTTACTCCTTAGGCAATCCCTATCACTCTCCTCAGAGACCAGTCAGGAGGGGTACTCCTCCAAGGCTCTCTGCAGCCCTGTGTGTGTTCCTGTTCCTTTCAGACCCCACCTCCACTGCCTGGCTACAGTGCAGCCTGGAATACAGCCAGTGGAGTTTCCCTGATGTCTATATTGCACTTGGCCATTGGGTGGAGGTATACCCAAAGTAAGGAAATAATCTTGGTTTAAAAGAGAAAAATGACATACCGAAAAAAAGAAAAGAAAAGAAAGGCATTTATTAGGAAGATAGAGAAATTTTCTGCCTCCAAGGAGGCGATTTATTTTCCAATTAATATTCAGAGCACTGAAGTATTATTTCAGGAGTCATTTTGGTTATTGTACCTTTCTTAAGGTAGAATAACATTACTAATAGTGTCTGCATGTGATCATCTACAGTCATAATATATACTAGGGGTTGGCTCTTAGAAAAAAATGAATATTCCACACTGAATGCTCAGTGGTAGAAACCTGAAATAATTTTGACGTCAAACTTCATGATAATCTTGTATTTAGTGTCCATTTTCAACAACATGTTTATCTCCTCCACAAATATTCTGTTATTTATAGAAGTGATAAAAGGAGAAAATGGGTGGCCCTAATCGCTTAGAGAGACTTAAAATTCAAACCAAGGAAGAAGAGCATGTTGGCACTTGTACAACACACATATGTGTGTGTGTGTGCGTGTGCGTGTGTGTATGTATGTATATATATATCAGCTTGTAAAATTATCTGTTTAGGTTGGTGCTGGCTAACATCCAAGAAGATGAAGCTAAAAATAACATTACCATCTTTACAAGAATTCTAGACAGACTTCTGGATGGTTACGATAATCGGCTTAGACCAGGACTGGGAGGTAACAGTAATTTTACTTTTTTTAAACTCTCACGAAATAATGCTTTAAAAAGTTAAGAGTAATATTCATAGTCTATTACATTTTATATATGAATGCATGTATTAAAAATCTATAAGTAATAGAAAGGTATATGAAATAAACATTATCTGGGATTCCTTTTTATGCACGCACAATGTACTTGACATATTTTTTAAGACTGCCTAAAATCACAGAGAGCCCAGACTTCCTGCACGAAGAGTTCTTAAATTAGTTTATTTATAATAGCTAAGTTTTTCAAACTTAAAGTATATTAAAATGAAATGTTACTGGGCAGCTCTACTTGTGTAGTATCTTCACATTTTACAGATGCCTATTTTCTCAGCAGTACAGATATGAAGAATTGAGACACATTAAAAAAAGTATCTGGGTTATAGTTCAACAAATACACAGTTTAGGATTCTATGATGATATTTCTTTACACATACATATGATATTTCTAAAATTAGCACTGGTTTGGCATTCTTGAAACTTGCAAAGATATTTTAGCTATACATTAGCTATAGGCCTAAATTTATTGGACTGTGGCACAGTTTGATTTCAAATTTAAATATTAATTTTCAACTCAGAAAAACAAATCTGTTTTTATCCGTAAAGATAAAGGAAACAAGGCTTGGCTAAAATGTTAATTTTTTTAATATGTTAAATTTTAATTATCCTCTAATTATCCTTAGCTAGGTGATACTAAGGAGATTAGGTGAAGGTAAAGTAGGTGTGTAATTCCTGAAGGATTCCGAATCAAAATATTGTTACCCATCATTTATAAATGAGATATATATCTCCATACACACATTTATCACCTGTATGTTAAACTTACTTGGATGTTTAGTTTAACCATTAATTAAAAATTAAGAAAAAATAGTTGAACAGTTGATACTAATCAAAGATTTATATAAGTAGCCAGGTTATTACTGGCAACTTTGTAATATGAAATTGCTTATAAAGATGTACATTGACTAAATGCCTAGATGTTTATAAAATACTTTCTCTGAAAAATGCAGGTGGTGGTTAATTCTATGTATATTTGCCAGTGTATGGTTTGGAGTGTTCAGGAGTCAGAAAAAGTCAGAAAAGACCCAACTTGTTAAATAAGATGCCATTTAATGCTGTTAGTTTTTACTGGAATCCCTGAGAGATATATCTCACTTTAATAGAAGTACATGGAGGAATAATATTCAGAAATTATGGCCCACTGTATCATTCAGATCAAAGTCAGTTGTTTAATATACACTTAGTTTTCTAAAAGGAAAAACTAAAAGGAAAATAATATTTCTTTAGTAATTAATATTTCTAATGAGCATGAATATAAGGAATCACTCTCTATGTTAGCATATGACAGTGAGCTTTTGCCAGACTCATACTGTAGATGTATGCCCAGCATAAATCTGTCATAATTCATGATGGTGGTTTAAGAGGTAGATTGCCCTAAGGCAGATATTTTTCCTAAGTCATAGATTTTATTTTTTTTTAAATAAATAATGTGCTGTCAAAAATCTTAATATTTGAGCTAGACCTTGGGTTTTGTGCCTGTGAGTTTTTAGGGGAAATATCTACACTGTGGGTGTGTAGTTGGGGAGTAGAAACTACCTGTTTCAGGACGTGGGTCTTGCCATTTAGCTCTTCGTATTTCTTTTGTAATGTCTCTTACATCCTTTTTTTACTTCCACTGTCACCACTCAAATATGGATCCTTGTCACTATATTACTTGGGTTAAGTGGCTCTTCTTGTCTAGTGTCTTCCTTCCCCAATCCTTCTCTGATATTGGACATATGCTAATATTTCCCAATCAGATTAGTTTTCTTTTATTCTTACAATGCTTTCCACATATCCCTCACTTTTCTTGATCATATACCTTCAGTGGCTCCCCTTTGCCTTCAGCAGGTGGCAGGAATAGAAGAAGGTAGTAGAAGGAATATAGGCTTGGAGGCAGATAGATCTAGGTGGAATTTCAGTTCCATCCATACACAAAGCTATGCCTTGGCCAGATAATCTCTGTTTCCTTTCATTTAAAATGGTTATGGTCTATTTACCTTTCTGCATTACAGGGTTGTTGAGAGGATTATATAAACAAAAAGTGTATACAAGCCTGGTGCCACACAGTAGCAATTCAACAAAGATCTAGTTCTTCCCTCCTCCCTTAGATTCCTAATGTGCCAGTCAAGTTTTTCTACATTCTATTTCTTGGGCTTCATTTTTATTTTGCCTCCCTCTCATCCTCTACTTCAAATGCATTTGTTCACTTTCTCTTGATAATCCATCCCTATCTGCTCCCTTGGCCTTTGGTTCTATTATTTCCTCTCACTGGAAGAATTTTTCTCATCCTCTCTGATGATCGAAACCTTTCCTTTTCTATAAAGATCACCTCAACACCTCCAGTAAAGATCTTTCTTAACTAAATTGAGGCACCCAGATTCAGTTTTCTCTCTGTTGAATTTCTTCAGCCGTTGTGGGCTCTATGTCTCATTTGGAACTTGTTATGTGCTAGCTTGGATTATTTATTACCTTTTTGTGTGTCTCCTGTTACCTTAACAAGATTGTAAGCTCATTGAGGCAAGATACTATATCATAAATCCTCTATGCTCTCAGCAACTAAATATTGATTTACATATTGTGGCTATCAAATAAATGTTGATTGCTTGATTAACTTTTCTATGACCAGTTAATCATCTATAAAATGGGGCTACTCCTATTTAGCTGACCTTTTAGTTAGAAGTGTTGAGGTGGTATGTCGGGCATCATGCTGCAGGATGATAGTGTATGTGGCTCAGTGAAGACCTACCTAATTTTAGATTGTGAAGATTTAGGTAAAATCCCAGCTCTGGTACTGAGGAGTCCTATGACTTTTAAGTACTCAGCCTCTCTGGGTCCACATCTGTCATTGATAAAGTGTGATTACTCATACTATTCTTAAAGTATTTGATGAATATGAAATACAATGGTATATGCAAAGAATTTAGCACAGTGACTGGCATATAGTAGAGAGTTAATAAATAACAAAACCTAAAGGACTTTCAAATACTCTCTAAATGTACTGTTGTAAATTTAAATTATTAGGATTACTTCTGCATCCCAAATTCTTAGCCTACATGTTCATATGTCATTTCAAATAGAAAGTCCAAGGAAATTATTTGCATCATTATGTCCCGGAAATTAATAAGGAAAAAATGGGTTTCATTCAATTTTAATATATCAAGGTGAACATCTCTTTTGATGAAAAATCTGGATAATTAATCTCAATTGTTATTTTCTTTCCCTTATAACTTTAATATAAATGAGTATATAGGAAAAAACAATCAGTTTTGGACTATGAGTTAGAAAAACTGTTCTTTTTACTTGGCTCTACCACTTACTAGATTTTACCCTTGCCAAGTTACTTAGGCATTCTGACCCTTGGTATTTTCTTTGGGAAAATGGCAATAATGGTATTTTATCTTGAAAGAAGGAGGGTAAATTGAGATTCATATATATCATGAGGATTATACAGTACATTGAGTGATAAAATTTTAAGATATTTTATGATTAATAATAGTCTCTTTAAAATTTAAGTTACATCATGCCATTAACTGCTCAAAATTCAGCAATCATTTCTACTTCATTCAGAATAAAAATCAGGTTCCTTGTGGTGGTCTCCAAGGCCCTACATGATCTGTTTCCTTATTTTTTCTTTGACCTCACCTCACACAACTCACCTTCTTGCTTACACTGGGGCAGTCACATTGGCTTCCTCTCTCTTCTTTGAACCACCAGGATACTCCTTAGGGCTTTTTCCCTGGCTCTTCCCTCTTCCCTGGATAGCCCTTGATCTCACCTCCTCAACGAGGCCTACCCTGACCAACCAAATAAATACTCTTACCTGTCTGCCTCTTAATAATTCTGATTCCACTTACACAGCTTCATTTCCCCCCTTTTTTTCTTAGTACTTATTATCCTTTAATATCTAAGATAACTTATGTCTTTATCACTGTTATGTCAATTGCTTATTTTTGTCTCTTTTGCTAGAATGTAGGCTCATTGAAGTCAGGGATTTGTGTCTGTTTTGTTGCTCGATTCACTGATGCGTCATTTATCCCAAGCATCTAGAGCAATACCTGGCATATAGTAAGCACTCAAATATTTCTGGATTGAATTTTAATTTTATTCCTTCGTTTTATTTTATTTTTACTGTGCTATCATGAAAAGAATCGACTGTAGAACTTACATGATCCTTAAATTAGTGGAGCAGTTATCATTTAATTAACACACTGGCCTTCCACTGTTAGTATCAGCATATTTTAGGCTGACATCTTGGTGAATTAGAGCTATTATTACACCAGTTACTCAAATCCTGACTTAATGGTTAGCTGTGATTCTGCCCTGAATGGTGTGATTTTGGGTGATTCATTTATCCCATCTGTGACTTAATTTACTCATCTGTGGAATGGCAGGAGAGGATCTACTTATTCTATTTATATCTCACAAGGATATGATGTGGTTAAAGTAAATTAAAATTCTCGAGAGAGCATAATGTGACATACTGATAAGCGTTAGTATTGTCAGGAATATGAAGAGAATTCTTCCAGAAGAACATCTTGGGGAGGTAGTGTCCTTTGAAAATACACCATGAAAATACTGGTAGGTCTTGTACATTGGGTAGGCTTCCTTCTTTGTGAGCCTGGAAACTTGAGATGGGCTTGCCTCGATATCTACCAAGACCATGCATTCAGATTAGCTGAACTAATAATTAATTTTTCCTCTTGTCTTCATTTTAGTCATTATAGCCAACAACTTGGAGTATCACACGTGGACTTTTACATTCCATAAGAGGCTTTCAAAATGTTAACTGAATAAAAAGAGCAGCCTTTGTTTCTTGGACCAATTTTATGGGGTCATTGGAGAAATGAATGTGTAGACAGGCCTCATACATTTATGACAGCTAACATCCACAGTGCTCAACAGTGACAACTATTAGAAATGACAAGGCTTGG